CGACGGTTACACCCGGTAATCTCGGGACCGTCGGTTACACCCGGTAATCTCGGGACCGACGGTTACACCCGATAATCACGCCGCTGACAGTAGCTCACATCGGCCCCCACCGAGCTTCCCGGTAGGTCGGACCTCGGCCAGGTTCACCTCGGCCCTCATACTTAGTATCTGTCAACGCTAGTGGTGGTGATCTCGGCGGTCCGAGCTGGAGCATGACTCATGGTCACCTTGGGGCACCAATGGCTGTCCTCCACGGGTCCAGGGTATTCTTTCCCCCAAACAATAGTGTTAAATCGTTTACTTGTCGTTTGCTCTTCAAGATTAATACAATTTCTAACTCTGGTGTGTGTGGAGCGGAATGGAATTGAATAACGTGTTCAAAAAGAAGTTTGGGTTTTTTTAAACTCCCTGTAAAAACGAGATCTCTCCAAAATATTTATTTTGTAAGTTCTTGGAGAAGAACAAGTCTAGTTAAGGAAATAGCATGAAAACGTTTTAACTAAATAAATTAATTAAAACGTTATTACAAACAAATGAATTAATTATTTAAAACGTTTACATTAATACTAAGTAAAATATAAGTAATAAAAGAAAGATATTACTTATTTTGCTGTGTCATTTCCAATAAATTGTTCTTCATGCATCTTCAAAAAGGTTCATTAATACTACTTAAAATACGATTTAATCTAGCATAAGCTATATGAGTCCCCACTAATTTAGTGGATAAATTAGTGGATCATAAGTCGATCCACCAAATAAAATCAGTAGTTTCTTATTAATCCCAACTAGCTAAAGCTAAAATTCTATTAGTGTTTATCTACGAGGAAAAACCTCATCAATATATACAATTTTCATGAGGCTAATCTAAATATTACGAATTAATTTGTCATTTCTACAAAAAATATAATTGACAACTCTAGACTATTATTTTCTTGCCATCGATCCTATGGAAAATGTTATAATAAATCTAGAAACAAATTTGCCTGAACAAATCTTGAAACAAACCGACACGCTTAAGAGTGTTATGTATAATTTATTTGATTTCAATGTCGGTATACGTTTTCAATTTTGCTATTGAAAATTTAAAATTTTCATTTATAATAGAAATTACTGTCGAAAGATCTTTTTGTAATACATTAAAAAATTGAAGCTCAAATTAAAACTTTTAAAACATTAGAAGATGAAATCAAATACAGAAATGAATGACGTTTTATAATTTTAGGTCAAAAAAGAAGATTCATCTATAAGTCAAATTTTGGTATCGTCGTAGAATAATACAATGGATAATATGTCTTCTCTTTTTCGTTTCTTGCTTAATACATTTGAGCTATTTGGGTGGTGATCAGAAAACAGAAAAACGTCAAATATATTATTGGTAGGAGATTTTAAAATTAAATTTCAATTCAAAAAATTGTTCAACAGTATTTAACAATATATTTGTAAACTAGTAAATTACCAACTAAATATTTAGTTTAATCTAAAATAATATTAATTAATTTATTAACATTTTTGTTATAAATCCTATATAATTATTATTTTATAATGTTGTATAACTTATAATATATTATATTGTACATATTTTATTTTTAGGTTTATAACATCAAATAATATATTTATCAAAGTTTTAATCTTTTTTAATATAATTCTAATTTTAAAGTTTAAGGTTCAAAATTTGAAAACACAAAGATAAAAAAGGTTGGTTTTAGAATTTCCATGCTTTCGATCACAAAATTGGAGAACAGTTTTAAAAAGCAAATGTTTCAAATGTTGACAAACACAAATTCACTTAATCAAATCTAAAAACAAGAAATAGAATCTATATTGCCAACCAACATGCATTTATAAATGTCACTACATTAATGAAAATTAAAAAAATGCAAGGACTAAATTTTTGATAAAGTAAGGACCAAAATGTTATAGACCTGTTTGGTAACGTTAGCGTTTCTTATTTCTATTTTCTTTCTTTTTAATAAAGAAAAATAGAGTTGTATGACCTTAACAACTATGGATTCAAGAAGGATAAAACTATATTTTCATTTATGCTCTAAACAAATTGGAAACGAGAACGAAAAAAATAAGAACAATGAATTGTATGACCTTAATATCCAAGAATTCAAGTATGATAAGACAATATTTTTATTTATGGTTTTGGAACAAATTGAAAATGGGAACAAGAAATAAATTTTGGTTGTTTCTAAAATTTTTATACAATTTTGAGAATGTTGTCAAGGAAGGAGAAACAAGAAACATAGTTAGACGTAAAACCCATTAATTCTACTAAAGTTATAATAAAGATTCAGTACTCATTTAACAAAGTCAAAACGAGCATAGTTCAACGGTAATTAACATATATCTCAAATCAAGAAGTTGTGAGTTCGATCCCCCACCCCACATGTCATTTGCCAAACATAACTCAAAAAGAAAAAAAAAAAGTAAACCACTCTGATAAAGTAAAAACGAGACTGCAGCGGTCGAACTCGAATTCTGATTTATGGAGTTAAAATTTAAAGCTCTTTTAACTCTTTTTTTGTTTTAGGAAAATATATGCGTCATAGTCTCATGTTGGTTGATAACTTGTCTAAGTAGTAGGTTAGGTGACAAGTATTGTCAATAAATAAATAAATAATAAAATTAGGTGACAAGTGATGTACAATTTCTTATACCGAATTTATCCAAGCTCTTTTTTCTAGGATATGAGAAGTCTTCTGAAGAAGTTGTTTCAATAATTTCATAATTTTATTACATTTCCGACTGTTAAAAAAGAAAAGGAAAAAGTGATCTTAGGACCGAATTGCTATTTCTTATTTCTCATTTCTATTTATGTTTTATATTTCTCTTTTATTTTTATATATAAATTATAAACATTGTCAAAATTGTATTGAAATTTTCAGTCTTCTTTTTTTTCAAACTAAATTTGTTTATAATTTTGAATTTTTGTTCAATTGTAGCAAGTAATTCTATTCACCTCTCCATGGTTGTCATACAATTCCAAATTTACCTCCGCACTAAATTTACTGTCATTGATGTTATAGTAATATTTCCTAAGTAAAAAGATACAATTCCAAATTTACCTCCGCACTAAATTTACTGTCATTGATGTTATAGTAATATTTCCTAAGTAAAAAAAATTTGCGGTGAACGTGGATCGAACACGTGACCTTCAGATCTTCAGTCTGACGCTCTCCCAACTGAGCTATCCCCGCTTAATATACATTGGTGAATTAGTAAATTAAATAATGTTTACATGTAGATACACAGGCAAATTTATTGTTATTTTGCATGGATCAATCTATTTTATGTTATTAAGATTTCGTAAGGGATATCCAGTGAGTGGTTTAATCTTGCAAAAAAAAAAAATATTTTTATTTGATCATGAATCTATCAAAAGAATGAATATCGTTCAAAAGATCGGTATAGATTATTTGATTTCACCGGTAAGAGGATTGTCTCAGTAAAATAATATCGCTAAAATGTAATCCTTTTCTCTATATCTTTTTAAAGTTATGCTGTTTTTTTTTTTATTTGTTATGCTGTTTTTTTTTTATTTTTTATGCTGTTTAGTTATTTATAGTTGATTAACTGCATATGCAATTAATTTTTGATTAATTAATTAATTAAATTTTGTAACGTTTCTTATCAAATTGTGTAAAGGTGATTTGTTTTAGTTGAACTTCACTACTTGCTTTTGGTTGTTTATACTTCGAACTAATTTTATTTCAGCAAGTAGTTTTATTCACCTGTCTAATGTTGTCCTTCGATATCTTACTTTGTTTTATCTTTATAASAGYTTGGTATATCTTAAAAGCCTTGAATCATTTGAAATTAATACATCAAATGTTTTGTAATGGTTTGATCATGTGCGAGAATATAATATAACTAAAGATGAAAATGCACATTAAAGAAAGACAAATGAAAAAGAAGAGAAAGACAAATGAAAAAGAAGAGTTGTTAGGAAGATGAATGAAGAAGAAAGTTTTCCAAGAGGTGAAGAAAAGAGAGAGGTGGCTTAGTTGCCACTTCCTTCATGTGGGCTTCGTCATGTTCATCATCTTCATCTTTTTGAGTCGCATAAACAACCTTGATATCCACAAGGGTTTCATTTTGTGTGATTGAAGAAAGCTTGAACGTTGTCTTGAAGGAAGAAAACCCTGTTTTTAACAGAATCCCTTCAATCAGTTGCAGCCCAAATTCATGGTTTGTTTCGTCAAGTTCCACAATCCTTTCCTTCTGAGTCTTCATAATCTTCACACCTGCAAATCTCAGTTTTCAAAGCAACAACGTCACAAAATAATTAATTAAGATGAAAAGAAGTGAGTGATAGTAATAGCATACCAGGGGCAAGATGGAAGAGGAAGACAGAACCAAGGCCACCATTCCCATGAAGGAGCTCAATTTTGTCCACTGTGTTTGGAATCAGCTTTGGAATTATAAATCTCAAGTCTTTAACCAAAGCTCTCCAAAGGGTTTCCACTCCAACCCCAAGCTTTGCCTCAGCTCTACTCTCCTTCACCATGCCTTGACGATCTTCCAATTTTAATTTCTTCCAAACAAACATATATATATCACTTTAATATATTTTGTTCATAAAATTAAGATTAGATCAGATCAGCACGTGTAGATGACAACTAGACACACACCAAATCACTTCCAAATTCTTATCTTTTACTCACACATGCATGCATGGTTGTTTGTTTGTTGTCTCTTTGTTTTTGTTTTCTTTACTCTTTCTTTTTGCAGCGTTCGAGGCTTTGGAGAGTGATACTATGGCACCTTGTGATTTGGGCATCAATGCATTAAATAATATGTAAAGATATTAAATGAAGAGTTTTATTCCTTCTTATCCCTTTTCTTCAAACTCTTTCCAGCTCTTTTGATTCGTCTGATGCTTCAGGCGAAACTCATTCCTATAGTGTGACCAAAAAGTTTGAATTCATAGCTAATAATAAACATCAAGTCGATATGAAAAACATGCGCTCAAAAAGACTTCAAGGGGTGCAATATTGAGAAAAAAGAAACTCAAAACTTAAAAGCCATACATCGATTTCCCATTTCAATGCAAGAGAATTAACACTTAAGAAGCGGAAGCGTACCTTGATCCATAATTGAATACCGATTGACGGATTTGATCTTCCAAGTCTAGATGAATCACGTTTTCCTCTGGTTTTACTTTGTATATTAGTAGAACAGGGAGAAGATTCTCTATGAAGGGATAAGAGAATACTGACGTGAGGAATGATCTGACTTGGGGACCACAACCCCTATGTAACCGACCAAAAACCCCTGGTCGGTTACAACGTTTTGATATTTCCAATTTGACCCCTCATCAAATTGGAAATTATTTCATGGTATCTATACATCTTGTCCATAGCCATTTTATAATTACTCTATTAAACCAAAATTTACACATCACTTATCTCGGTCTAATTAAATAGCAAAAAACAGATTAAATTAGTACATGTGTGGCCCCATATTGTTAAAAATTCCAACAATCTCCCACTGGGCCACATATGTAACTTAACAAATGTGTTTGACTTTATGCGCTCCAGAATTGCTATCGTAAAAAGGAGTAAACTTAAACAACCTCGTCAGTTACATTAATAAGGATCAAAGAAGTTTTCGTTACAATAAAACGTAACTAAACACATCATTGGTCACAAATACCAATATAACTAAATGACATAGATCAAACCATGGATGTATAGCATGGAAATTACATGAAATGTCATCTATACATGCCTATTTCCATCTGGTCCTTTCTTACTTTAGTGAGATCAAAATCTTTAACCTAATGAGGCAAAGTATAATGAACTTAATTTTCATATTTCTAATAAAAATCCAAAACACATAATAAATATGTCCAAATAAATCATAGAGCAATATAAACTCCCACTGAAACATAATTTCCTCATTTCCAGTAACACCCATATGAGTCATATGCTCACGAAAGATGAAAGATCTAGGGGTGGTAATGCTTTTACAAGCAAATCTGCTATTATGGAGCTTGTCCCAATATACTCTATAGATTTGTGTATACTATGCACTCTTTCCTTCACAATTAGAAATTTATGAATTTCTAATGTTCATCGAATATAGCTTATTTACTGTCACAGTAAATTCGAGTGGTCTTTCAACACCCTCTACAATTTGCAGCCATGTGACAAAAAACTTGTAGCTAGATTCCATGTGATTGGATACCATTTAATATATCTTAAGGTGGATCTACCACAATTTTGGCATCCATCAAATAAGAGCCGGAATACCCAATGATCTCAAATTGTTCCGATCTCTTATATGTGAGCATATAATCTTTTTTCTTTACAATACCTTAAAACCCCATTTGGCTGCTTACCAAAAATATTTATATCAGGGTTACTTAAATATCTGCATAACATCCCAACAATGTACACAATACCACATACTTAAGCTTACAATAGTTTCCTTGTAGATGAACAAGGAACCTTTTTCCATTTTCTCAACTTCTAGATTGTTTTGGGCATTAATCGAGACTAAGTTTGTTTTCTTAGTGACAAGGATGTCAAAAAATTACTTTAGTCTCCTTTATGCTTACTCCCACTGAACTTGTGATACGTACAATTATCAACAATTTTTATCTCAAGACCTAACGAGATAATAACTTGATGACATTTACATAGTATCATATATGATTCTCATTGTTCCTTAAGAAAGCTAATCAAATTATCCAAAATGGATATTTCTGATCTTTTTATAGTGGACCATCTCAAAGGGCATTAATTCTGGAGGTTGTTGAGTTTGCTCATGAGGACCAACTACCTCATCTGTAGTAGGAATTGTTCAACATTGTCTAGTTTAAAATCGTGATATGCTTAATCTTCAGTGACAAATATAGAAACTTGCACACTGCGAAAAGCAAACAATAAGAATAGAAACAAATTCCTCCTTATAAAGGACAATGTTTTTTACCCTTATTTCTCTCCCCAAACTCAACATCTGAAAAAATTGTGCCGTTCTTAAAAAATTCCTTAAGTGTGGGATCATAAAAACTTATACCCATTAGGTTGCTAAACACTTTATTTTGGTCTATTCTAGTTGCAAAAGGATCGAGAAAATCATGCCAACAATATTTGAATTCAAAGACTAAACAAAAAAACTGTTACCAAAATACTCAATAACAGTATTTACGAACATAGAAAACACAAACCAAAGTTCGGTTATAGATAGTACAACAAAAGGTGTCGTTAAAATTCAAATAAAATAGGTACTTAAGAACAGTCGGAAATGCCTATGGCCTCTATTGCTACCAACTTGCTACCACCAACAAAAATGTTTATTTTAGCATAAGTTGGCTTCCGGTAACTTAGGCAGTCCTACAGAGAAACASTTATGTGAGTAATTGCACCAAAATCTCACCATCACGTGTTTCAAGGTACTGAAGTTGGATTTACTGAAGAACAGACCAAATAAGAGGTGTACCTTTTCTTCACACTCTAGGCATGAAACTTGGTACAAATCTTCTTTATATGTCCACAAAAGTTGAGAAACTGGACCTTTAGAAGTTGTAGAATTTTATTTTCTTTGTCTTTGGTGATGCTTGCCAAATGAGCATTGTCTATCTATAGCTGTAGTAATCTCTCTTCCTCCTCCATGCAATCATAAATGAGCTCATTTAGAGTCCATTCACAGTTTTGACAATAATAGTTGACCTTAACCTAGTCAAACTGTGTAGGTAGAGAGAGCAAAACTAAGTGCACGAGCGACCCATCAGATAGCTTAACCTTAAGTGTCTTTAGTTCTGATCCAAGATGAGACATGTCCATAATGTGCTCCCTAACATTTCCTTTGCCCTTATAATTCATTGAAATTAAGCTTTGCAAAAACATGCTTGTTTCAACCTTATAGTTTTTAGCAAAATATTTTTCTATTTCAGCCGGGAAATCTTTGGCATTTGTTATTCCTTCGAATAACGCACCCCTAAATGCATTAGGAAGACCGCGCTTTATGATCAATAGACTTAAGCGGTTCAAGCGATCCCACCTCTCAAAGAGACTCCTATGAGAAGGAGGAGAGAGTTGTTCCATCCTAAATGAAAAGTCCAAATCCATGCCGCCTAAATATGCAACCATATTTTCCTTCCAATTTTTTAAGTTGGAACCATTAAGAATAGGAATATTGTTGAGAATAGTAGAAATTGTAGCAATAGTAGCTGATAAGAAAACAAAGTTAAATATACAATAATGCTCACATCATTAATTGTTAATATTGAACAATTAGTCACAATAATCATAAAATTCAAATAATAGTTAATCCCTTCACAAGATACCTAACACAACATCAACATCAAGTCTTTGGACAGTAATATTGACTGTAAGTGGTCATCTTGGCGTAGTGATCAAATATTGACAATAAACGCACGGCAAATAACAAACCTATATTTGGATCGATTTATTATTGGCATGCCCAGAAACCTAATAATTGTCACACATTTATCAGAACAAAAAATGTTTGTAATTCACGCTAATATCAACCTTCCTTTGGGCCCATTAATATTTGCACAAATATACAAACACTTAAACATTAAACACATTCATGAATAATCTTCACAAGAGAGGTCACTTTGGTGACATCGAATTTTAATTATTCAATCATATGTTTAACAAAATTTTATTAACCACAAAATTAAATTCACCAAAAATTTGAATTTATGAATTTCTTAATTAAAAATGTATATTATGAAACACATAATATATATAAAAGAAAATTCAGTTTCATAACTCAATATAATTACCATAATTATAAAAAAAAAAACTAAGTTATGACTATAAATTCATAATAAAAATATTGATTATCAATATACTGACAGAAAAAAAAAACAAAGACCTCAATAAACACCAACGAATGCCTTCATTCAAAATTTTTTTTTTCTTGCCAGCATTACTATTGCACCGCAATGGCCTAAGTCAAAATCCACACGAAAATGGACTCTTCGACAAAATTAAAGATAAGTTCCACATAAGCCATTGCATATACACATCACTGCAAGATCCATCATACCCACACCAAAATGGTCTATCGACACCTTTATAACAGACGGAAGACCAAATTTCAAATTAATGTTTGGACTTTTTTTTTTTTTAATGCGGCACTTTGGCATGAAGGGATGTGAATCTCGGAGCGGAAGCGGATCTTGGTTGCTGATTTTTGGGATACAAAACCGAAATTGAAAGAAAGAAAATATAGAGGAAACCAAATACCTTTGAAGAACTTTTCTTCTACGGTTTCCCACGAACACCACCACTACGTCTTCCTCGCTATCCTCTTGGGTCTCGGGATCGTGCTTGTGGTAGCACCTTGATCGAAGAGAGGGAGAGATTGAGAGAATTATGAGAGAAAATCGGATGAGAGTTTTTTTTTTGTGTTCTGTAACACCCTGCAACTCCCCACGTCACAAAACCTCCCACCCTTGCAACCCCTGCAATTTTGCAGGGGAGTTTAATAATAATAATATTATTATTAATAATAATATATAATATATATATATATAATTAATTAATCAAATTAATTAATTAATATA